TTAGCTTAAAAGTACCTAGAATAAATAAGCTTTTATTATTAACTAAGTAAACTGCCTCTCTATTATTAAGGATCGTACTCATTAAGAGAGAATAAGATTTGTATAGTATAGTACTATAGATTTTTAAGAGTATTTTACTCTTCTTCTAAAATAGTACTTAATTAATTGATATTATAGTAATAAAGTATTTAGAGTATCTACTTTAGCTCTTATAGTTAAAGATTGTAACTATAGCTATAACTATCTTCTAGCTATTCTACTTAAGATAGTTAAGTAGCGTAGCCTATTCTAGCTTATTAATCCTTTTATATATCTTCTTCCAATCTATATTAAAGAGCATCATTAGTAGTAGCCTAACTTTAGTTAATTTAGTTAACGCTATCTCTAATCTTCTATAAATTAGTAGTTTCTATAAGTATAATTCTCGTAGTTTATACGAGCACGTAAAAGTTTCTTTAGCTAGTTTTTAGCTAAGCTATAACTCTATATTTTAGATTAATATAAATATTTTATATTCTTTACTCTTTACTACTATAGCTATATTATATTAGAGTAGAATAGTAAACGACTACGCTAGCTTATCTATTATTATCTCTAGTCTTTCTCTAGTATAGTCTTAAGCTATTAGTAAGTAGATACTCTTAGTAAAATCTAGTACGATACGTAGTACTAACATATTAAGAAAGTTAGTAAGAGTAAGCTAACTCTTAACGTCTAGTACGTTAAAAGCCTCAGCCTTATTTTATAAGAGTTTCTATTTATTAGACTAGTATTTAGAGCTAATCTAGTTATATTAAGCTTTATTAAGGTACGTATAATACTACTCTTTAACTTAGTCTATATTAGTTTAATTTATTCATACTAGATCGCTTTTTAGTTCTTAAATAAAAGCCTAAGAGTTTAAAGATCAAGTATTAAGAAGCTTAAGTATAACTTTAGAGAGATAATTCTAGAATATAGTCTTAGAAATTTACTCTTATAAATTACTAAGATAAGTAATATCGCTATTCTACTTTACGGATTAGACCTTATATTAATTAATATCTTCTAAATAGTTAGTAGTAGCTAGTGTATATACTTTTAACTTTACTATATATTTAAGAATTACTTATTAGTATTCTTTAATTTCCTTATTAGATAGTTCTAAGCGTAAAACTAGTATAGGCGATGGCTTAATTAGAACCTTAAGGTAAACTAGTTTATAGTTCTAGATTAGAGAAATAGTAGAAAGATCTAGATTAAATAAGTAGTAGATACTCTTATCTTTAGTATAAGAATAGAGCTAGGTAAACTTTATTCGCTAGTAATTTTTAGTTTTTAAAATGACTATAGTTACAACAATACGATCGTTATAATCTATAGAAATATATTATTTAGAGAGAGTAAATTAATAATAGAGTAATTAATATATTACTTCAAGTCTTAGTAGTATAACTGCGTAAAAAGAATCATACTATAATCTTATAGCGCTAGGCTTATAACCATTAAGAAATAGAGAACTTTAAATAAATAGAATAACTTAAGAATAATAGATAAATGAATCTACTTATCTAGATTAGTAGATTAGTTAGACTATATACTTATTTAACTTAGTCATACTCTATTTAGTAATCTATCTTAGTTTTTATATAATCTACTACTTCTCTATCTAATAAGATCAGATAGATTAAAGGATTGGATGGATTATGTAATCTAGGTTAGGTTAGTTACTTACTAACTAACTTATTAGTTCTACGATAATATAGTATAAAGCTTAGTAAAAACGATTAGATACCAATAGTAAAAGATACTTATCTATTTTAATAATATATTACCTCTCTAAATTAACTATCTACTTTTATTTAGCAAGATAATACTTATATAGTTTATTTGTATCTAGATTTATAACTAATCTAAGTCTAGGATATTGTAGTAGTCTAAATGATCTCTAGAGATATCTATCTTAATTAAAGTAGATTAGACTACTTTATTTACTTAATACTAGCTTTGAAGCTAGATCTATTGAGTTAGATTAATCTATATTACTTAAATTAGATTAAATTAAGCTAATTAGATCTATAGATGTAGATTAGGGTGGTAGTCTTAATAGTTAAAGATCCACGATAAGATATATATTTTTACTTTAACTAAATAGGAAATATTACGTAATTTTATAGCTATTAAAGCTATAACTAATTGTAGCTCTATTGAGCGTAGAAGCTGAATTTATAGCATATCGCGAATTAACTAAATAGTGTATTTATTTAATCTAATTTATTAAAGAGATTAAATAACTATTCAATATACTATGATATAGAACTATGATAATATACTCTAACAGCTAGAGTATAATCTAACTATCTAGAGATCCCGCCTACTACGCTATAACTAAATATATTAAAATTTTATATTATTTCGTGCGTAAACAGGTAAAGGCTAAATAAATCTAGCTATAATATTAAAATACTAGCTACCTACTAGCTAATTATCGTATAAAGGTAATATATACTAAGAAGATTTAAGATTTTCTATTATAAGTAAATTTAATAGGTATATCTTAGATCTTAGCTACTTAGCTTAACGAGACGTGTTAGAGATATAAGCTAATTAGCTAATTACTAATATAATCTAGGTGCTTAGCATAATACTTAGATTCTTTAGTTTACTAATCTCTAAATAATTTATCTATCTATTACGTCTATTGATACGTATTCTTCTACTAAATAGATTCTTCTAGAATCTACTATAGTTAATATATATAGTAGGAGAATAGCTAGTAGATAGAAACTAGAGTAGATTATAAGTACAGATTAGAGTACTAGATTAGATTAATCTAATTCTTATCTCTCTCCCCTAATATTATTTCTCTCTTTCTATCTTAGAACCTATTAATTCGCTATCTCTAAGTCTATTACTAGATAATTAGACGACTCTACCTCTAAGCTAGCTATAGAATAAGTAGTACTCTTCTTATTCTAATAGAGTAGCTAGATACGTAGAAGAAACGTACTAATTACTATACCTCTAAGATTAGAATAAAGTCTTATATATAACGTGTATGGCAAGCGAGCAGCGCAGGTAAGCGAGCAGCGCACCCCATCAAACTTACGCACCTCCTTAAACTAAATATCTAATTACTCAATACTATTACACTTAAATGGCTTCAGACGAATTAGATATTTAACTTACTATCTAATCACTTAAAAATAATTAGATCTAAGAGAATTGCCAAGCTACTATAGTCTATAATATAGCCGAAATAACGCTCTACCGCTAACGCGCTAGTAAGCCTACCTAACGCGATTACTAGCCTAACTTAAAGAAGCTAACTAAGCTAGAAGAGGAGGTAATAGTTAGTTATATACTTAATCTTAATTCACGTAGATTTACGCCTACGTACGCTACTATGCGCGATATAGCTGATAAGCTGCTAGCTACGCGCGGCGCTGGCTAGATTAAGTAGAAGTAGCTAGCTAACTTTATTAAGCGTATAGATAGTCTTATAACGCATTTTAATTAGGCGTACGATAGGTAGAGAGCTCTATATAAAGATCTAGTCTTAATTAAGAGCTAGTTTAAGCTTATAGAGCAGATAAATGCTAAGTATAGCATCTATAATAAGAATATCTACAACTTTAATAAAGCTAGCTTTTTAATAGGTAAGATTACTACTTAGCTTATTATTATAGTATTAGAGAGAAGAGGCCGGCTAAAGGCTATCTAGCTAGGCGGCTAAGAGTAGGTAACGTTTATTACTAGGATTAATGCAGCTGGCTAGTCTATCCTACTATTTCTTATTTTTACTAGTAAGTATTACCTATCTGCTTAGTATAAGAAGGCAGAGATCTTACGCAACTAGGCGATCGCAGTTAGCGATAATAGCTAGACGACTAATAAGCTAGGAGTTAAGTAGCTAAAGTACTTTATTAAGTATATAGATAGTAAGGTTATTAGAGTACGCCAGCTACTTATCCTTAACGGCTATAAGAGCTACTAGTTACTTAAGTTCTAAGAGCTCTATAAGAAGAATAATATTTATACACTCTATATACTACTATACTTATCTTATCTACTCTAGCCTCTTAACGTTAGCTACTTCTCGCCGTTAAAGCGCGTATATAGTTATAAGGTAGAGAGCCTAATACGTAACTATATTAACTATATTACTAAGCTCGAGTTGCTGCTAGCGTTTAAGATAGCCTTTAATCGATCTTTTACACTAACTAATATCTGCATAGCCTTTTAAGGCGCAGGTATTATTCCTTTTTAGCTAGACGCTGTTCTATTAAAGCTAGACGTGTAGCTACGTACGTCTACTCTACTAGCTATTCTAGTAGAGGCTCTCTAGCAGGCTCGTACGCCTAGTAACACACGCGAGCTTAAGCTCAATTAATATTAATACGTAATCGCGTTTAGTAGCATTAAGACTTATCGCTAGCTTTAATT